TCTGCCACCTAGTTTTAAAATATCAAATTTGTTTTTTTTATTTAAAAAATCTAATTTAAAAAATATATAATACTAATAAGTTTCTATTTAACATTTCGTTATTTTAACTCAAACAATGTTATATATTAGTTTTATAAACAAACAAATGCACTTTCATTATCGTAGTTGTCAACCAACAATGTAAGATATATTAATCTTAATTTCTAATATACTTTATCAATTAAATATATAGTATAGCATGAACTTGGGATATTATGGTTCGGTTCTATTTTTTGCGTTTTAATATAAACAAAGACCATTCCGAACCAAACAAAACGTGTCTCTTTAAACACAAAAACCAAAAAGACGTTTTTTCAAAATGGTTCGATTATTCTATTCTTTGGTTTTGGTTTGTCATTGTTTGTTTTTACATCCAAAAAGTTGTAATGATTTTAATATTTAATGCGTATCCTTTAAACAAGGTCAAATTTTTTGTAATAGTCTTCATAGACATCATTGTATTATCGTAAGAGATTACTAATTATTGAAATTTAAAGGGCCTCAATTTTGCTTTTGCCCCGGGCCACAAATTGGCTTGGACCGGCCCTGTAGGTGCTTATGTTTTTTTCTCAACTATTGGTCTTCTAGTTTCTCGATGACGATGACAAATGGTTGGGACTCGGAGAAGGTATCGAAGGTGGGTTAGAAGAAGGAGGAGATGAAAGAGATATAAGGGTGAGAAAAGGGACGGTATGGTGGATGTCGTGGGTTGGGTATATAATCCTTTTTAGGGGTGCAAACGAGCCGAGCCGAGCCCGAGCCTGGCCAGGCTCGGCTCGGGCTCGTTTAAGTTCTAAGAGGCTCGAGCTCGAGCTCGGCTCGAGCTCGTAAATAATTATACAAGCTCGACTCGGGCTCGGACTCGGCTCGTTTTTTGTCTGACTTGCCTAAATAAGCTTAAGCTCGGTTCGAGCTCGTTAAGAAGCTCGTTTACTAATACCCTAATTTCCTAATCCAAAAATATGTTTTTATTTTAATATATAAAAAAATGAGAAATTATATTATATAAAGGCTCGATTAGGCTCGCGAGCCTAATCGAGCTTAGTGACATAGGCTCGAGCTCGAGCTCGTTTAATAAACGAGCTTAATATTAAGCTCGAGCTCGGCTTGGGCTCGTCTAAAATCGGTTTCGAGTCGAGTTTTTAGCGATCCGATCCCGAGTAGCTCACGAGTAGCTTGGCTCGTTTGCACCCCTAATCCTTTTTATTTTAATATTACTTTAAAATTAAAATAGTGTTAAAATAAATATAGAATATATATAAAATGGTAATTAAAAGGGCATAACAGTCTTTTTAGGTTTTTTAGGATCAAATTCACGGAAATTATTTGATTTTAGACCTTCCATGCAAGTTGGAAATTTTTTGAACTTCATCCAAAATTTCTTGCAAACCACAATAACCAAATTTACAGTTTTATATTTTTTAAAATAAAACAAGATTTTTCATATAAATTTGGAGATGTTAAGTTGACCGTCTCATAAAACACGTTTTTCATTGAAGGTTGGAAAAGACGTCAACGTTGAATAGGTTACATATTGACCGTCATTTTCTATCTTACCTCTAATGATTAAATATGTGATATGACCCAATTCCTCCAATTTTATTTTCATCACGTGTCTATTTCTCTAATTAAAAAAACATTTTAAATGTTAATAACATAGATTATAGAATGGCACTATCAGCTGCAGTGAAGTGGTTTGTAGTGCATTCGCACTATGATGGCTAAGATAAAATTTACTCTGTAATTTAATTCAAGTGAAATTAGTAAACCTCATATTTGGGGATCACACCAACTAATCCCATCACTTAGTACAATTGAGATAAATTTCAATATGCTAGCCGTAATAAACATGATAATTAAACTTGAACTATGAGTAAGTTTAATTCAAGTAAATTAAATAAACCTCTTATTTAGCTATCACACTAACCAATCTCATCACCCATACAAATACAAATAAGAAAAAGATGATTTATGAGGCTATGAAGTATATATGACACGGGAGTGGACCTTCCACATCAACATCACAACACCACCGAAGACACATGTTTTTGTGGTCACATCTTGAAGAAGAGACAGAAAAGGGGTGTGGTTGAGGAGTAACGAGTATAGAACGTAAAATCATATTGTTCATTTTTTAAATGAAACCGATAAAAAATGAAAGGAAAAAAAAACTAGTTACGGGTCCGGGTCGAGTCGTATAACCAAAAACAAGTTGCGGAAACTTATAGTTTTGAGGTTGAAAATATCATTTTTGCTAATTTCTTATTTCACAATTCGTAATTCACAAACAACAATCGAAATATCGAATAATCAAACAAATGAACAACAATCAAATAATCAATTCACATCGAAACAATAAAAAAAACCTAATATAAAATCATAGAACAATCAAATTTTATGTTGTGGAATCATTGAACAATTCACAAATCACACTTCAATATTCACTATTAGTAAAAACAAAAGAAAAAAACTACTGTGTAATCGATTTCTCATATTCATAATCCATTATTAACAAATATTTAATATTAATAATACTAGCATAAAGGAAGAAAGATTCAATGAAACAATAAGTTAAAAAAACTTACATTTAATGAAATTTGATTTGTGAATCATGAATTGATGACTAATGAATTATGAATTGATGAAAGCCCTGCCCTTCGAGTCGTTGTTGCCTGCTGAACCGCTGCCCTAAGTATTCATGTTTACTTTTTTTTTTTTTTTTTTTTAATTTAATTTTTTTTATTCGGCTATACATACTGGATTATATCTTAACAGTTTGGGCTATTAAAAAAAATACAGGCTTTAAAATCTGATTTCTTTTTGTTACCAATAATATTAGGTAGATCATTTAAAATGTTTTACTGCAGGGGCCGGTCCGGAAAAATTAAATATTCTCAAAGGCCCAGGTCGAACAATAAAAAAAGGTCCTTATCTTTATGATGATTTTTTATTTTTAAACAAAAATATATAATGAAAAAAATTGGACCCTGTGCAACTGCCTACTTTGCACCCCCCATGTGTTTTAGGTAGGCCACATTATTTTATTCTATATAAACTATTATAAAAAAGGTGGTTCAAATAACCGACCTTTAATATATGTGGTCTCACCATTGTGGTTGAAGCGAAGTCTCACCACGCACATGGTTTCACCTTAGCACCACGTCGGAGACGAGTTGGTGTGCACGTCATGGTGGGGGTGCCTAATCACCACCACGTCCTCTTACCCTAATATGATAAAGGTAATAAATGATTATATGAAAACCACTTTTTTCTATGATTTTATAGGTTTTTATATAAACCTTAGGTCTAATCACATATACATAATAACATGTAACATGATGATATCATCACATTACACAAAAAATAAAAATATATTTATATAGACATGGGTATAAATATAGACTATAATCATGATTATAAAACTTGAATATGAAATTTCATTATAAAATTCATTAAACTTATTGATGTAAACATACAAAAACAATTTAATATCTATATAAGTCGTTTTAAAGCTTTAAGCTATGGCTATCCAGAATTTTTTGTCAAACGAACTAAGATAAAATATACCAACAATTAGCAACTTGTGAATAGTGCAATCCCTATTCATGATTTCATTCCCACCATGTATAGCATCAGCGAGTGTTATAGGATACTTAGCCAGTTACCACAGTGTCATCCCTATTGAAAATCTTCCTCTGAATCCCCTTTATGGAAATCTTTCCATCCGGAACTCGCCTTTCGAAACTTCCTTCAAGAACTAGCCTTTTTGGAACCAAATTCTAGAGTTATCTTTTTGGACATCTTTGTAGGAACCATTTCTTAGTCTCATTAGCAGCAAATAGACTAAGAAACGATCAAATTTCAAAATTCAATAGGCTTTGGTTGTTAATGTGGTGGCTCTTGTATCATCATAATGTTTAGACTTTGAAAGATGTTACGACTGAAGAGTAAAGACTTCGTTTTTCCATGTTCCCCATGCGTCTAAACTATTCCTGCATATTCACATTTCCACATTTCTATGGTCATCATCTTCCATCAATTTAACTAGTTATTGTCAAGTCCAGAGTTGGTTGCTAACGACAGTGTGATAGATGAAGAGCTTTACTTGAGTTGGAGTTCGAGCAGCCTGTGTTTGTTGTTGGAGGAATTACGCAAAAATGTATATGGTAATACAAGATGTAATATGAATAAGCAGTTCGAAAAATGCAAATAAATAAATAAATAAATTGAAAAGTGGTTAAAATTTATCTATTGATTAAAAAATTATTAAAGAGTTAAATCAAATATTTTATAAATGTTTAGAAAATTTTATAGTGAAACTTTAGTCAAGGATAACTATGTGGGTAATATGTCATTAACAACCAAACGCAAGAGATGATCAAAATGAATTCCTAATTTTCCTAAAACAATCTATGAACCAAACGTCTCTTTACTTTGGATAATCACGTCCTTTGAAAATCGGTTTCCACCTTCGCGCCACGAAGTTGTTTCTAGCTTCAATTTTTTCTCTTTTCAAAACAGGCCCTCAAAGTTCAGTTCATTTCAATTTCTCCCTAAAAGTTACAACTGTTATGTAAATGACAAAATTTAAATGGATTTCTATTCTTTTGATTATTAAAAGATATATATAGTGTTATATAACATTTGTCACCACAATATCCAAAAGCAACAAATATAATATCCAAACTTAAACCAAAACCAAAAACTTCACTTATTTATTTTCACATCTTTACTGCTACACCAAGCATACATAGACTATAACTACATGCTGCTATAAGCAATTATTAATTTTACATCAAACGAATAATACACAAGAGCATTTAGCGTTTCAAAATACTAACAAATAATACAATATCTACGACTCTATCACCCTTTTCCTACAACCAAACCAATATCAAATATACCACAATTGCAATTACACTTTTAAAAACAACAAACACAAACAACTTTAGGTCTAAGGATCAACCCCTGCAGTTATCTTTTGAGGTGTGTCGTCTGCGGGTAGAAAACACCTAGCAAGCCAATGTAAAGGTTTCATTAGTTCTTCTCTTTTCTTTCTCCAAAACCAAATTGCAGCATTATACTGTTGATTTCTAATCACCCGTGTGGCTGCCCGCCAATCGTACTTCTCCATCTCCTCTCGGGCAGCCTGCCCGATCTTTTCACGTAACGCCACGTCATCTAATAACGGGACCAGTTTCTTTAAGCAATCATCAAGATCTCCAGGGGTGAAGAGGAACCCGGTTTTGCCCTCCTGTTCGGGCGGGATAATGTCGGGCACACCTCCAGCTCGGGCAGCCACTACGGGCAGCCCTGATGACATGGCTTCCAGGACAACCTGCCCCAGTGTTTCGGATTCGGAAGGCATTAGGAATATGTCCCCGCTGGCGTATGATTGGGATAATTCTTCGCCTTGTAACATCCCTGTGAAGACAGCTGGCATCCCTTCGAATAACTTTTCAAGATCCTCCCTATTTTTGCACATCAAACTTAAATTAAGAAATAATAATGCTATTTATATATTGTGAAAAATCGAACAAATATTTTCAAGGTTTCATGGAGTTTGACTTTAAAAGGGGTTCATGTTGGGGTACCTGTATGGACCATCTCCAACGAAAGCTATCCTTGCCTGTGGGATCTTTTCCATGACACTGTTCAATTCATAGATCAATCGACACTTTAGAAATCGTATTTGAAAAATATTCATGTTAAAATTACGTATTTACCTATTATAATCGACTAAAATGAAGAGTACCTTTTAAGGAAATCTAGATTTTTCTCAACTCCAATACGCCCAACATGTACAATCAATGGTCGATCCGTTTCGCCATTGCTGTTTATAACAGAAATTGAAGCAACAAAATCAAACAAAGAATTGAAATTTATATCGCATTGTTTCATGAATGATGACTGGTTTTTTAGCGAACATTTAAAGATCAATTAATTGTTTCTTTTGTAAAATTTAAGGGAAAGACATGAAAAAGAGACTTTCCCCTTTACGCTCTAAATACTTATAATCGTCATATATCTGGAAATTACTTAATGAAAAAAATAAAAGAAATGGGGAATTAGCCAAAGAAGAAGCATACGATAATCTAATTCGCATTTCATGAGACTTGAATTTTGGATGAAAGCTATCTGAATCAACACCCTTATTCCATAGACGGATCGTGTTAGCTGAAAAGGCAAAACAAAAAAAAACATTGTATTAATTAATATATTTTCTCAAATATTCAAAATACATTTCAATATCAACTATTAAATGTTTACCTTCTGCTACTTTGTATTGTTCAAGATCCTTTGCAATAGCAGCCGATGGGACCAATGTAAGATCAGCAGCTCTGTGAAGAAATTCTGATCATACAAGAAAAATATAATCATTTTTCTCATCTCCAAAGACCTTAAAATATAACAATATAAGAGCAAAAAGGAAGATTCATGGCATACTTATAACTAACCACATTGGCTTGACTAACCAGCTAGACGTGTATCTTGGTATGTATCTGCATTAAAACAACATCTTATTCAACTTCAAGCACCAAATTTGTATAAATGTGTGTGTATGTATATACATATACATATACACATACACAAACGTCAAAACATAAATCACAATTTGTCTCAAATGTTTCACTTACACAGGCACGTGTGTATGATAGGACATCACTATTGGAACAGACAACATTTTTGCAATTGCAAGCGCTCCAAAAACCTTATAAGTCAAAGTAAAAATGTTAGTAAAGTTAGAAACCTACATCATTGTACTTCCACTTTTTTCTTATTAAGTCATTGTAGTGTGAAAAATATACCCAATTATAACATTTAAAGTTGCTTTGTGGGTGAGATTGCTATTATTGGGTAAAATTTTAAAAGTAAAATGTTGTAATATGAAGAAATGAAGTAGGACACTATAATAGATAAATCATTTAAAGTGTGTTGTTATTTCTTGCATTTAAGCCAGTGTATATGCACACATACATGTAGAGGAGGAGAGGATGTACCATAATACCAGGAGATGATGCATGGATGATGTCTGGTTTGAACTTTTTAACTTCATTGATGATTCGAGGGCTCAGAGCAAGGGAAAGTGGCACTTGCTGATACCATGGGAAAGGGAAGCTGTACAAAGAAGATTCAAGAAAATTTAAAAATAAGGGTCTGTTTGATAGTTGTTGATTGAGTCAGATCTGATTGAGTCAAACCCAGCTTCTTACCAAACCCAGTAAGAGGCACTGTGTCAGACCCAGCTAATTGTGGTATCAAACGGTCTGAATCTGACCGAGTCAGACCCAACCTCTTACCAGACCCAGGAAGAGGCATATCAAACAAGTTTTGTTCAATCAAGACCTAGTTACAATTTTGGTCCATGTGTGATATTACATTTTCGTCCCTATTTCAATGTTTCTTATCTTTTAGTCTGTGGGTCGTCTAATGTAACGAAATGGGTGTTAGTTTAGAGGATGCAGGGATGCAAAATGTTAAGAAACATTGAAATGGGGGCGAAAAATGCAAATGGATTCTTTAATTGGGACCGAAATTTGTAATTATTAGGTCTTTAATCGATGGAAAGGAATCTTAAAGAAATCAACCTTCGTGAGCCAACTAATTTTGCTCCATGAAATTCTTCAGGCACCCCTTCATGAGTCGTTACAACCATCACCTACAAAAAGTGCAATAACCCAAGTAAGGCCTTGTTTCTTCTCTTTTTTTTTCCTATTAAAATAAATGATGTTTAAAAGGTATTCGAGAAAATAATGATACACTAATATAAGTATATAATAAATTTACCTCGTCCCCCATCTCGCGTAAATATTTAATGAAGTTTTGAAACCGATTCTTGTATCCAGACACGTACCTGTTATAGAGATGAGATACAGCAAATGAGACTTGACCAATTTGTTTAATTGGTGATAACAGTTAAGAATAATATTTATTTCATTTTTGTATAATGTGTTTCTATGTACTAAACATTGTTATGCAACTAAATGGCTTTAAAGATATATACAGAGATGAGCTATAATGTGCATGATTTGGTGAAAAAAAAAATGTTTGGGATGATACATATTTGATTAGCTAAACAGGATGAATGGATTCCGGTATACATTTCAATACCTCTATCTCTATGTTAACAATTTGTTCTTTTTCATAATCTTTTCCTCATCTTTAGGAATTAGGATAAAGTGGGATGTATGGATTCTTGTAATTCTCATAATCTCTAAGAATAATCTTTTCTTGTAAGTCTACTATGATACAAATTCTTCAAATACCAATATTATAGCCATAACATATCTTTTCTAATTGTGGTAGTAACCACTTGAATGGCAGATGATAATTACTTGAGAAACGCACAATTTCTGTGATGAATAGCATCAAATTCACAACATAACAATCCAATTTGTCGCAAGAATACAGCAATATATGTAGCAGTTGACTTTCTACCAACATTTTGACATTCTCTTGACACAGTTTCATAATATCCATCAATCAAGCAAACAAATAGCTTCCCGTTACAGAAATTTTTAAACGAATAGCAGTTAATACGCATCAACAACACACAGGTAGGTGGATTATGCCTATTACTTGTTAGGATAACTGAAAATCGTAAATCAAAAGAGAGACTCACGCAAAAGGAGATGGTTCAACGAAGAGAGCAATACGCCTAGGCTTAGTGACAATCTCATATTCAACCTGAGAAGGAGGACCCTCCTCTTCATCTTCTTTCCGCTCCTCGATTGTCATTCTGTTGCTGCTGCAAGAAACCAAGAAGATGGAATCTTGGAAGGGTAGCGTTATGAAAGCACAAAATCAAGAAAATCTTGAACTAATAGCAAGCAAATGAAGCAGAGGCGGATGTAGATGCAGATGCAGAGAGGAAGAAATAGGGGTTTATATCGAAAGAAGATCTTGGCATTATGATTGGTGGTGACTTGTAAGCAAGTAGAAAGATTGGGGATTTTTAATTATGGGAGCAAAAGAGAATATTAATTAGAAGGAGGAATCGTAGGGGAAGAGAGTAATGGAAGTGGATTATGGATATTCGATGAAGAAAACCGGGAATCATCTGAAGCATATGCTATTGGTACGACCAATGGGGTTGAATGATTATCATTTATCAAGTCGGACGTCTTGTTCTGGCAAGGTGGGGTCTTTTGTTCCAGACAGTGATGTTTTACACAACTTATTTCTCCATGTCGATTTGCACATGGTTGATACAAAAATTATGCTGCTTCTGTTCATGCTTGTTGGTTAAGAGATGTTTTCTTTAAGTGGTTTTGAATAAAATTTAAAATTAGGAAGGTAACTTGCGAAAAACCGAAAACTTTTAAGTTAATTTATTTGGTAAATTAGGTTAGAAATTGTCTTATTTGAATTTGAATAAAGAAAAATATGAAATAGTTAGAGATAATTATTTACAAGTTTTTAAACATATTTTCAAATAAGATAAGGTTGAGACTATAAATAAATAAGTACATTAAGGATTTAAAGCAATAATAATGAAAATGAAAACACAAAGTTATAATTAACCGGAGTATACTTGATCGGCCCTGAAAGGATCATCTAGACATTTTTAACCGGAGTATACTTGATCTACAAGGTATTGATGTTAAAAAATTAAGATGAGGATCAAGATCTTATTCAGTTGTGTTATCTATCGAATTCTTATGAGAATTTCATTGATATCAAGTTGTACGGTAAAACAAAGATTATTGTCAATGATGTGAAGGTTTCCTTGTTATCCAAGGAACTGAAACTTAGCCTTTCTGAATGTTTCAGTTTAGGTCTGTTTGATGTAGGAGTAGAACATTAGAAAGAGACAATGGAAATAAGGGAAAGTCATGTTCCAAATCTAAATATTCCTCTAAGATTAGATGTTATAACTTCAAGGAAAAGGGAACTACAGAAGGGATTGTCCACAATGAAAGAAGGGAATTTTCAGGTTGAACCAAGTACTAATAATAGTGTTGTTGTGGTTCAAGAAAGTTCTGACAAATAAGACATATGGGATGTTTTGGCCATATGAACGACTAGTTTCTACTGATTCTTGGATCTTGGACTTGGGTGCATATCATCATATGACATATAATCGTGATTGGTTATAATCTTTTAAAGAATGGAATGACACAATGAAGATGGTTAATCATGGGATGTGGTGTATCAAGGGTAGTGACACGGTGCATATCAAAATGTATAATAGTGTGGCCAGAAACTTGAGTGTTGGTATGTTCCTAATCTTCGGAAGAACCTGATTACTCTTGGCACTTTATCCAAGCATGGTTGAAATCTTCTGGTGAAGACGACTAGGTAAAGGTCTCTAAAGATGCTCTTATGTTATGAAGGGAAAACTACAACATGGAATATTTTTTCTGGAAGGCAGCTTGGTTAAAGGAGCGGTGGTTGTATATCAGCCCTTAGAATAGTGTGATGACAAGATACAGATAGGACATCAAAGATTAGGTCACATAAGTGATAAGGGCATGTTGATTCGGAGTAAATAGACGATGTTTGGTGGAGAAGTAACCGGAAAAGCCAAATTATGTGAAGCGTGTGTCCAAGGAAACCAACACAGGTGAAGTTCAATTCTAGTCAATACATAAGCAAGGAAACCATTCATTATGTTCACTCATATTTATAAATTTCTGCTCCGGTGAAATCTCATGGTGGATGCGCATAATTTGTGACTTTCATTGATAAATATTCAAGAAAGATATGGTTGTATTTTTTTTGGAGACAAAGGGTGAAGTATTTGGAAAGTTCAAGAAGTGAAAGTTTATCGTTGAAAAATGGATAGGGAAACAAGTCAACACACTAATAAAAAAAATGGGTTAGAGTTTTGCAATGCATTTTTTGACAACTTCAACAAAACAGAAGGTATAGTGGGGCACCCCACTATACATCACACATCAAAGAAAAATGACAGAACGAATAAGCCAAACACGGATGCATCATGCAGGATGCATGCAGGCCCAACCCAGATGGTGGACAACCCGGGCGGTCGCCCAAGGCCCATATCGGGTCTAAAATTCCTAGAGGTGTGTGTGTGTGTGTGTATATATATATAGATATATATATATATATATATATATATATATATATATATATAATATATATATATATATATTGGGTCGGTTCTCGGATTATTTGGGTCGGGTTATCCGAATAACGTCTTAATCGAGCCTAAAGGACCGAACCGGAAACTGAAAAGTCATAATTTTCAAGGCAACTTCGAACTGTCATAACGTCTTCGTTATTTGTCTAATTTGCCTGATTTTTTTCTTCCTTGTAGTTCAAAAATTAAGTTATTGTTTACATAGTTTACATGTATTTTTTGGTTATATATTCAATGAGATTCGGGCTCCTAAACATGAGGTATTGAAGATGAGTTTTCTGTTTCAGCATGTTTGCAGAATTTTAGGCAACTTTAAACTATCATAGTGTCTTCGTTATTTGTCCGATTTACCCAACTTTTTCTAGATCGTAGTTAACAATTTAAACTATTGTTACATAGTTTACATGCATTTTTTGGTTGTATATTTAATGAGATACAAGCTCCTAAACAGGGGGTATTAAAGTTTTTTTTATACTAACATTTACTATATTGCCTACATATGTTTGAGATGTTTGTCCCCCGTTAGAAGAAGATTGCAATATTTGCAGCGATATGGTTGGATCATTCGATCCACATTTGAATTTAAATCATTTGACTTTCTTTGATTATTGTAAATGTTATCCGGTTTACTCGGGTTATTCGGTTCTTTTCGGTACTATTTAGTCCTTATATATATATATTATATATATAATAATATATATATATATATATATATATATATATATATATATATTGTAAATGTTATTCGGTTTATTCAGGTAATAACCGATCCGGATCGATTAATACCTGAACCGAACCGGACTCATATTGGTTTAATCGATCCGGTTTTCAATTCCTCCAAATAGTTTTATTCGATTTTCGGTTATTGGGTTCGAACAGGTTTGGTCGGTTCCAACCGAATAACATCCTATATATATATAAATATATATATAGATATTATATATATATATATATAATATACTCTATATATATATATATACACCACAGAGAGAGAGAGCGAGAGAGACGAGGGAGCGCGATGGAGGAGAGAGAGAGCGAGAGGAGAGCGAGAAGAGAATTAACTTTATCTAAAATGTCAGGAGAAGTATTTTTCTTTAAATTAGTTGTTTTTGTAATGTTGTGGCCATATTTGTATTTTTTGAATATTAATAGTGAATTTTGTAATGATGTGTCTATTTTCGATTTTATTTTTATTATATTTATGATTTTGGGGGGACTATTTTTTTCTTTTCGTCCTGGGCCCACTATATGTTTGGACCGGCCCTGGATGCATGCGATTACTTGTTGATTTATTGAGAAGTATGGTATGGTAAACCCTCTGATTATTCTTGTATACATACATTTGGTTGCACTGCTTATGCTCATGTTAATGATGGTAAACCGGAGCTGAGGGCGATGAAGTGTACATTTGTATGATATGCAACTATAGTGAAAGGCTATCGATTGTGGTGTATAGAAGAAAGAAAAACTCCACAATCAGAGAGGAGAAAGTAAAAGTCTTTTAGGGAAATAGGATAACGGTGTTAACTAAAATGTGTAGTTTATAACATAGACTGTAAGAACCTGGATTTTTGAGCCCATGTATTTTAGAATGTTATTTTGTGCTAAAGGGTATTTGTCACACCCCCAAACCTGAACGGCGGAAACGTCCGGCGTGGGTGACTTCAACAACCATTGCATTAATAAAGTATAAGTTTTTACATAAGTGTTCAAACATTGTATATTTTACATCAAAAGTAGATATAGTAAAAGACAAAAGACGTAACACGACACTATGTCGTCTTCTGAAAAGCTCTGGAGGTGTACCTGTCTTACTGTTTCCCTGAGAATACAAGTAGTTTTGAAAAGGTGTCAACAATTAAGTTGGTGAGTTCGTAAGTATGTTTATAACTGAAATCTGTTTTCTTGTTCTTTGATAAATTAATCATGTTTTTCCCAGAAAATTCTATATTTTCTGTTGTAGTATAATGTAAGTAAAACGTGTGAAAGTTACTGTACTCTAATGTGGTAAATTGTAATTTAGTTCACTAGAATTTAGGAAAAGTATGTTTTCTCTGTACCGAAATAGTATTCTGTACCTATACTTGTAAACATTGTATTATAGTTTCATTTTAATAAAACTATGTGAAGTTGTTTCCTTATTCATACACTAATCATTTTATTCAATACCAAATTGTGAGTTATTATAACCATACTAGATGACCTAAGATGGCCTGAACACGACGTTCTTCAGGCGTCGTAAAAGCTACAACATTTGTCACCACAGGTCTGCCGACCTAGCTGTTGCAAGCAGCTCTGGTGCGGGATTGTCAGTCCCGTATAGATCTATACACAAGTGTCACGCTCCCCCTCACGGAGATTCTGGTTATAATTTCAAGACTTGGTTGGTACTTAGAAAAGTACGTGAAGATTTTCTCACAAATGCTATATTGATGATTACGTGTGAAATAATGAAAAGTTACTTTGAAATGAATACACTGTAAGTAAGTTTCATACACTATGGTTTATATGTTTGTTATCAGTAAAATATTATGTTTCCTTTCTGAAAAATGTTCTCTACTTGTTTTCCGTTATGTACTCTGTTTCTTTTCTGTTATGTATTCTGATCCTTGAAACTAATGAATAAGTTCTCTAAACTATACCTATTATAGTTTACTTTTGTTTTACGGTAATGAAAACCTTTGTTAACTTTTGTAAGAATCTGTAATACTATTGTTCTATGAAATCCACTGTGTGTACTCAAATAGTTTTAACAGTTTGAAAACCATTTTATATTTATATAAATGTAATATTTATATAATTGTGATTAATTAGACATTTGATTAAATAACTTTACCCCAAGCCCACAACCAAACAAGGAACAGGAAATGGGGTCAAATTACATATTCTAAATCTTTTGAATCCAAATTATATAATTTACACAGATATAAATATGTAATTTTGATAATTATAACAATTTAGAAACACTAAAAACATTAAAAACATTTTATATGTTAACACAATTTTTATTGTGTTTCACTTGTATTCCCCCCCCCCCTCTAAAGCAGTTAAAAATCATAAAAATGTAGGGGTATGAACTCACCTTTTGTGAGTGATTTCGATTGAAGGTTCGATTTAGGATGTTTTTCCATAAGTTAGATTCCGAAGCAAAATG